AACAACAACAACAACAAAAAACACGTAAATGTAGGCCCCCCAACCCCCTACACACACACACACACGTTTAAACAGGGAACCAGACGGAAAAAGCGACTTTTAAAAAAACTATATTTCAGTTTCTTTGACGGCTCCACTTCGAAACAGAAACTCTGTCGTCTAAAAGGTGGAGGATAGTATCAATCACATCAAATAAATGACATTAAAAGTTGTTTAAGTGCATGAAACAGAACTGGAGAGGTTTTTAGTCTGCTTTGATCTGTTCCATGGCTTCCGCTCATAGCCAAAGGACGCAAAGACACATACAATTTATTAGAAGTAATAAAAACAAAATTCGCAAAAATTAAGTATGATGTAGGGATGGCAATGCCAAAAAATACGAAAACAAGGTAGAGATGAATACAGAAAAACCATACAAAACTCCCTACATAAGTATGCCACTGTATCAATGTTACAAGTTTATGGTTATTAGCCACTGTAAGACTGTATAGCACTCTTCAGTTTAAATGCTTTTATTCAAACCTGAATCCATGCAACTGACAGGAATTCAACATTTAGTTGTAGATAAAGTTATTCATGGAAAGATTTAGTTACTCATTGTAATTTGTACATGGTTTGTATATTCACCCCTTCCTTGTTTCTGTACTTTTTGGCATTGCCATCCCTACATCATACTTAGTTTTGCAAATTTTTTAATTGCTTATTTCTTCTATTTTTAAACAATTTTATTGAAGTAAGTTTAATAAGTAAACATGTGTTTTATGTTTACAATTAAATGGTAATATATATTGTCAATATCATATCAGTTTTGTCAGTTTCTTCACCTGTAGCTGTATCATCCATATTGTTACGTCTCTGTTCGTTTGTTAATTTTCCGTAAACATTCTTTCCGAATAAACTTTAGCGATACAAGTCCTTTCTTAAATAAAACTAGTTTATTCTTTCTCAATACAACTTGCAATACATTTAATTTCCACAGTCAGTTTAACTTAAACAAAGGCTATAATTCACAACGAACGATTCACGCACTACCGCGCTCGACTCAATTGTCCGTCTCTAGCTCTGTCTGCAATTCACTTCCATTGTTGCCGTCACTTCTTGGCGGTCTTATATATTATAAAAGCGTACATCTCGTCTCTTCGTGAATCTTCTAGAAACTCATCACGTGCTACCAGAGTCACGTGACTTCCGATGTCGTAACAATATATTCATGTTTGCATTCTTTTTGGCACTGCCATCCCTACATCATTTTACAGTTACAAAAGGTATTTTCTTTGGTGACATTTTTTACCCTTACTGTATTTAATGTATTCTATGAATGTGTGTAATAAAATTTAATATTATGGGTATTGATTTTTTTTTTTTTTTGCTCCTTCACTTCCATACATAATATGGGGGTTGGCTCCCTAAAGACACCGATTGTATAGTGTACATAGCTAACTGAAATAAATTTTGCGAAATCAAGCTTGACCAGCAAAGAGGCAGGAAAGTCCAATAGGTGCAGTCAAACGTCGGTAAATTCCTTTGTGAGCCAATCAAAATTAAGATCATTTATGAAATGAATTCTTGACGTATTCATAGAATAATTATTGGTAAAAATCAATTAGGTTAACAACTTTTAATATAGAGAAAAGACAATACGTTTTGGTAACAATACGTTCCAAATGGCTTTTATGTCATGTCGCTTAGCAACAAAATTACAACCAAATACTGTTGTTAGTCTATGTACTGAAAATATAAAATGAAATGTATAGACAACAAAACTGGAAAAATATTTGTAGATTTCTTAATTTAGAGTCTTCGTTGATTAAATTGGTTTGTTTTTCATAAAAATTGTTGGTAATATAACAGAAAATAGCTTAATTCAGAAACGATTTAAGTTTAAAATTGAATTTATGTTTTTACTTTCATGATATATTTTTTGCTCTTGGCTCTAGGCTAGGTGATTCCACACTACTTCTTTACTTTAGGCTTATTATACCAACACTCACTACACTTATAAGGTTTCACGGCACCCTTTCACCTTCGTTACTAAAATCATAACGAGCAGACAGTAATCGAAATATTCTATCTGAAGAAATGCAATTTGGCCATTATGACTCCACCTATTTCGAGAAATAAAAAAATTAAAAATCTAACGTGACGTGACATACACTAGATTTTATATAGATTAGATTCCTGTTTGACCCTGTACTTAAGGTTTTTTTTCTGTAAAAAACCTAACTTCAAGGGATAATGATAACATCGTTTACACTAGAATTATGATTTTTTTTAGCTTATACTAAGCATTACAATGTTCCCAAGTGCTCTTAAAATACTTTTC